ATTCTTTAAGCACCGGTTTGAGCACCGTTTGAGCACCGGCACCGTTTCAAAAGTACCGATTTGGCACCGGTATCGGATAAAACCTAAACGATACCCATCCCTACTCCTGAGTTTAGCAAGTCAAATCCAAAAAGTCATCAGAACCCCAACAATTATAAGAGCAAACAAAAGTTATCAGTAATTCACAAGCAAGCAAGAGACAGGCAGGACAGGAGGGCAACATAACAAACAATCAGGGTTACCAATTAAACACATGTGACACTAATGAGAGGGAAACAAGAGTGGGACAAGTCCAAAGATAACAACAATACAACACAGGTTCGTAGAGAGTAAAGTACCTCTTCAGAATAAGGCAGGAAGTACACATAACAAGGTACACAGATTACTAGAGCGAGACATAGACAACAAGGGGACAATTTAAAAAAAACAAAAAAACAACCTAAGACTGCTGAGAGAGTAAAGTTTTAGATCAAAGATCATGACAGATCATGATGGTTCCTGATCAGATGATAAGCTTATTCTTCCCTTCCTTCTCTCTCTCTTTGGTCAAGCTATCAAGTCATTTCCTAGTTTGTTCCCTTCTGGATTCCTACTTTATTATCTATGTATACTCACAGTCTTCTCTGTTTCTTATTTTAGTAAGCATGTTTTTGCAAGTACTTTATTGCTTTTTGGAGTGTTTTTGGACCTTGGCCTGTTTTTGTCCTCCTCTTAGTTTCTTGCAGACTTCATATGGGTCCTCTCCACCCGTATGCCACCACTCGGTGACTATTGAACAGTAGTAGTTTCCTGACAAAGCCAAAGGTCAGACAAGTGCTGGGAGAAAGTAAACTAAAAGGTCAAACAAGGCCGGTTGCATGTTTGAAAAACAACCCTTACAGTGGTAGAAGAGTGGATTACCTTTGTGTTATTATAACAAGCTGAAGAACATTTTCTTCTCTTGTGTCGATTGTATCCCAGTATAGATGATGATTATGGTGATGATGAAGGACGGCATGTTTTACAAACTGCCTCCAGGCTGAAAACAAGACCTTGAATTCCTGTGTGAAGCGCTGCTGCGCGGTGACTTACTGTTTTTAATGTGCTGCGGGGGTCGAAGCAAACGCTCGCCCGGGACACAAACATACAGCATCACATTGTGCAAACATCTGCGGAGGACAGGATGATCTAATATGAGACTGTGAAATGGACGAGGACGGGGGAGGAGGCAGGGGAGGTGCCGGAGTTAAAGGTGGAGCTCTTCCTTTCAAGTTGAGGTTAAAAGCCTCGGAGGCTGTGACCTTGGATTTAAAGGTTCCCGGAGGGGGGAAACTCATAAACAGGTGCTAGAACAGCTGTAATCAAACAGTAACTGGCTGCAGCGTGTCACAGGGGGAAGCGAGGGTGGAGAGGTGGATGAGGTGAGCGGTGAAGGGACAGCAGCATAATGCCGGGCGACCTCAGACCACCGTGACAGCCCACAGGGACAGCGAGATCGCATTCCTTCACGCTAATGGGCCTATTTAGCAGATGGACACAGATGGAAGTCCCTGAGAGATCGGTTTTAATGTGCTCAACAATTACTGCAACATTTATAATATGCTGCATGCTGGACTTAGAGGATTTACACATAGTGTCTGTGCAACAGTATTATAAGTCAGTATTCAGTTTCTTTAAATTTGAGTATTTAATGTTGATTTTACAATCAATAGAAGAATTAAATCTACAGAATTTAAACAGAAGTAGAGAAAACCTTCAAAAGATTTAACTCTAACCTACTGCAGGCATGTGTGATTTATAGAATTTCATATAAAAATTTTATAGCTACGAGATCAATGAGCATATATTTTATATTTATTCTGACTTATCTTGCACACAGCCCGTTGCCGCCTGTATCTTCTAACAGTGTGAGACCTACTAAGGCCGAGCTACAGCTTGTGTAAAGTGCTCAAAGCTCCGTGATTCTGCAGTCCAGTGCAGAAAGACAAATGAGAAATCGCCTGCATTTCTCCAGCAAAATTCTGGACAAATACTTTTTAGAGCGTCCAGCACATATTTGTGTTTCTCCAGTAGAGGTCAAAATAGCTGAATACCAACATCTTGCAAGACTTGCTTCTTTTCAATTTCAAAGTAGTTGATCTACAGACATGTGAAAAGAGTTTTGACAGGAATCTCTGGAGTCCTGTCATAAACTAAGTACATCTTTACTGTCCATTTCTACTATACCTGAGCACTCAAAGCACTTTATACAACATATGTCATCCACTTAAGCACTTTGTTTCTGTCTAAATGCTTTCTATCTGTCATTCACACATCTTGGGGTTTAGTGTCTTGCCCAAAGATGCTTTGGCATTGAGCCAGGGATTAAACCACCAACCTTCTGATTAGTAGGTGCCCTGTTCTACCCCTTGACCCACATCTACCGCAAAATAAGAGGGTAAGTAGCAGCCAGGCTTTTGCCAGTTTGCAGGTCTGGATGATTCAGCTGTGTCTTAACACAGTTGTGTTTTAACAGTCTTCCCAGGAATGGCTGTCCCAGCAAATTCACCCCAAGGTCAGACTATGCAATGCTCAGAGAAACTGCAGAAAACCCAAGAGCTGCTTCTCAGACTCATTTTGCGTGATAAAATTTAAAGTTCTTGACAGTGCTGTTATAAAAAGATTGAACAAGCATAGCTGCTTTGGAGGACTGCAAAGGAAAGCCTCTTCTGTCTAAAAAGAATATGGCAGCACAGCTAGGGTTTGCAAATTTCCATCTGAATAAACTTTAAGAGTCTTCGAACAACGTCCTTGGACAGACGAGATGAACTGGAGATGTCTGGCTGTAATGCACAGAACCAAATTTGGCCACAGGACCTGGGCATCATGCAGCCAGTGAGTCATCCATGAACTCCTCTGTATACCAAAGTATTCCAGAGTCAAATGTGAGGCCATCTGTTTGACAGCTAAAGCTTGGCCGAAATTGGGTCATGCAACGGGACAATGATCCCCAACAAAGAAACAAATCTACAATAGAATGGCTGCAAAAGAACAGAATCTAACTGGGCCACTGCAACACTTTGGGTCCAGACCTCAACCCGACTTAAATGCTGTGGAGAGACATTAAGAAAGCTGCATGATGAATACCTCAATGAACTGAGGCAGTGTAAAGAATAGTGGGCCAGAATTCCGAAATAACACGAGAGAATTATGAAGTCACACATTTAAAAAAGAACTTTTCTAATGAAAATATTTATTTCACCTGACAGCACAGTATCTAAAAGACCCTCGTCAGTCCCAATTTCTTCTGGAACTGTAGATGCATTTCAATTGTCTTATGAGCAAACTTTTTGGTATAAGTAAAATCCTGAGATTTTCATAATGCGAGACTAGTGAAACCTTCTTTCCCACCTGGTTAGAACTCTGCTGAGTGTGCTCTCACTGTTTGTTCTGTGTATAAAAAAATACCACACTCACTCAGCTCCGCAATGCTTCCCACTCGGGTCGCGAGCAGGGACTGCTCCAGGGTCCGGAGCTCAGCTTGGGTGTACCCGTGACCTTCACTGCCCCTCCCCGAGCGTTGCTGGTCCCTGTGCAGGTTCAGACTCTCCGGGAGGCTCAGCACACCTGGAGACGGCACAGAAAACAAAGGAAATTTTAAAAAAACGGCAAAACAACAACTCATACATCTTCTTCTTCTTCTGGTAATTTTCCCATCAGCTTTCTGCTGATGCCAGATTTATCACAGACAAGAAGTAACAGGGGAATGCAAACTCTAGAGAAAGACAAGAGGAGCAGCAGAAATGCAAATCAGCACTTTGAGATAAATATTCTGCACAGAACTGGGAAGCTGTGCGATTAAAACCACTTTCATGTTGCAGCCAGAGAGCAAACATTTGTCTAAATGATTAAACATGGGGACAGAGTCACGGGTTAATGGCATACTGTACGCGATGATTCTTCTTATTTGCATTGAAAACCTCACAGCTCACAAAGCTTTCTTGTTTTTACCTCAACCTTCAAACTCTAATTGAACTGAATCGTCTGTTAGCCACATTTGTTTCTTCAAGTATTCACATCTAAATCACCTTGTCGTGATCTCAGGTGTGTTTCTTTTTTTTTTTCTGCTGAAAACAAATGGTAGCAGATTACGCTCGCTAGCAAGAATTAATCCATTTAGGAGCTGTTATTGCAGCCAGGCATTGTGTAGCTGCAAAGAATGGCTTGTGACAGATTGGATATTGAGTTTTCTGCTACAATAGAATGGAAAGCAACACCACGCCGGGTGCTAATCCTAATGACACAGCACAGTGGGATATGCCATTTTTCAAAGAACAGTAATTACAACATGGAGGAATGTGGACAATTTGTCTATGTTTGATGCCGGCAGCTAAGAGAAAAAAACCCTTGCACAGTGGACACAGTGCACCAAGTTCACGAGCTTTCTTTAGTTTTCCCTGTACAGAAAAGACCTCTCCAGACTCAGATTCCTCCCACCATCACCTCTTCCCACAGTGTCCAACCCAAGAATTCCAGTATTCCCCAGTCCCAGTCCTGCTCCTTTTTCTTCCCACAGCCTTTCCGGGGAGGTCTACATGATTTTTTTCCTAATAGCTTTTTCCATTGCTGTTTTAACCACTAAGCAGTATTAATGGAGCAGCTGGTATTAGGGTGTGTCTCGAATGGAAATCCTCAATGTTAAAACAAAAAAGCGTGGCCGGATCTGCAGCAATAAAGAATTTCTATAATCCAAAGAAATGAAAGACTCCTCTAAAATGAATGATTTGCTGAAAGCTGGCTATATGGTGAGGTGTAGTTAGCAGCTGCTTCACACTTAGCTCATTTAAAAGCTCTTTAAAATGGTTTGTTAGTACATATGGTGTTCACAGTTTTAAGTGTTTGAGATCATTTTCTATGAGTGCAGATATGTAACTCACTCCTCTTTGAAGCATTTATAATTGTATTTTATCCACAACTGTCACCCTAACAGTCATTTATTTGTTGTGTATACCACTGTGAATAACTTAAGGGGAACGGTTGTCTGAAACGGTGGACCTCATTTGTAAAATTCATGACTTTGGGAAAAGCCACAAATTTCATGTAAAGAGATTACTGAGACAGAGGGGTGCCACCAGAGGAGCTCTGAAAGCAGATTTCACCCTGCCTGTTAGTTTGGCCACACACTTTTTCCTTCAGATGTGGTTGGGTAGTACATAACACAGCCAAGTCACTATACTCTCTTGTATAGTGAATCCTAATGTAGTGTCAACATTTGGCATAAAATTACCTTTGGCATAAAATTAAACATGAGATTTTATATTTTAAGTTGCTGTAGACTTGTTAACTAATGGGTGTTTATTACAGAGATAATGGAAATGATTTATAATTGGTGAGAGTTGGGGCGAGATGTGCGATCGGTGCTGTTTCTTGTTTGGAACGACCGAAACAATTACTGAAGAAGTAGAAAATTGGGCCTTCTATGTGCACCCCTTTAACTGCTTGTTAACACAAACATCTAAACAGCCAATCACATGACAGCAACTCAGTGCATTTAGGCATGTAGACACAGTTAAGGCAACCTGCTGAAGTTAACACCAAACAGAGTGGGGAAGACTTTGAATTGAGTATTTCAGACCAGTTTTTCTACTGGTTCACTGCTTTCCACAGTCACCAGATCTCAACCCAACAGTCCATCTTTGGGATGTGGTCGAATGGAAGAATTGCATCATGGATGTGTAGCTGAAAAATCTGGAATAACTGTATAAATATGGAGCAAAATCTCTGAAGAATGTTTCCAACGTCACAAAGAATAAAAGCTGTTCTGGTGCCATTAGGTGCTCCAGTCTGGTCAAGGCTGGAGCTCAACCTAATAAAGTGTCCAGTGAACTTCAGTTAAAACGCTACCATATAAAGAAAAAGACAAGATTAGCATCTAGCTTATTATAAGTGCACACCAGAAAAAACAGCATCCATGACGTTATCACAGCATACAGCGTTTAAGTGCACATGGTATGGTTAACTTTCACGTTCCTGAAGGCATCTTGCTCAGGTAAGATCCTGCTGATTTAAGCAAGCTAATGCTAAACCTTAATCACCTATTACAACAAGAGCACAGCTCTGTAATAAAGCAGTCTGTGCACTCTGTCTGCAGTCCATACCCTTCACCCATGGGTGCAATTATGAGACAAAAAGCTTGAAGTAAAACATTTTAAAACATTCTTACATTCTTTCAAAAGTACAGCAATTGTTCTCCTCACTTTCTAAGCTTGTAAAGTTGGGGTTTTTTTTAATAAGAGGTGATGCAACACAGTGGTAAACATGCTCCTGTTCCAGCTTTCTGGATGATGCTGCTGTGCGGTGCTTCATTTCAAGTAATATTCTGTCCTTTTACCATTTGCACATCATTGAATTCTGTTTTAATCTACATTTTCCGTGCATTTCAGCTTTGTTGAAAACAGGGTTGCACTATAACGTTGCCTTCAATCTCAAATGATCAGATAAAAGAGGGTAAGAGATTTCATGGAGCCTCAAGGAACTGCACAGATGGACGTGCCACTAAAATGACTTTTGCATACAATGAACCACCAATTGGGAAAGTAAAACCACTGACTGAAGCAGCTTAAAGTCTGCTCCATGAAGATGATAAACACATAACTGAATTTGTATCTCTAGACTGAAACTAACGAATGTTTTTCTAAGCAGAAGACATGGATCAAGAGGGATGGCTTTTATAAAGGTCTGTGAAACTGCAGAGTAAACAACATATCAGTTGAATAAAAGTGGCATAAAAACTACAGAAAAGCAGGGATTCCTCAGGCTTCTCGGAAAAGAGAAGCTGTCTGTCCTGCTCCTGTCCCAGATTGAAGCAGGGAAATCTCTTGAAAGTCCTCTAATCACTAAAAAACATATTGACATTCATGGCTTCCTGAGCTGCAGATTTTGCACTTGTGTGTGTTTTTAGGTGGAGGTATAGGTTTGAATAATTCACAGTGCCCTCTGTAATCAAGGCTTCCCATCATCATTTTCACTTCACCCCCACCACTGCCCAAACTATTCTTTTAATAATATTACCGGGGTGCCAGGGAGTCCTTTGCTGAATTATTCATCCTGTCAGATCAAGACATATAAACAAGTCTGCAGCGCTCTCTTTCCCCACCTCCCACTCACTCTACATGTTATCTCTCACTAACACTTGGCTTCTCCAGATAGGAAAAAAAAGTAGGAATATTTGATCCTGGGTGATGTTTGTGTAATAAACATCAGAGGTGAGAAAGAAGGCAGCCTGGCCCCTCGGAGGCGAGGAACAGGGAAGAGGATGAAGGGAAGAGGGAACGCTGACACAAGTTTGTGATTAAAAAATGACAAGCAACATTTCCATGTCACATCAACCACGTCGTTCTGTGACCTCTGAGGCAATTATATAAGTATATATATATATATATATATATATATATACATATATATACTTTAGAAACAGTCTAAAGCCACATAAACAGAAACAAACTGCATTGCCTACTCTCTGCCTCTCTTCACGTGCCCGATGAGCAGATGAAAAGGATGCTGGGTCACGGCGACGGGACTAGTTTAAATCTCCATGTGGTGCACCGAAATCCCCTCAGTCATTCCCGTGAAAATACCACTGCTCCTCATAGATAAAATAAGTTCTCATAAATAATATAGAGAATATTGAGCTTACAACACATACAACAGCTGACAGTGTGGCAATGAAACAGGCTTCAATAACAAGCAAAAAAATAAAAGGTATTGTCTAGAACAAAGCAATTAATAAAGATTCTGCACAATTGTTATTATTCTGCTTTAACTAATATTACTTGTACTACTATACTAACTAATATTTATAGATATCAGTGTTTTTATAACATTTGCATGGATGCATATTACTTAGAAACTATAATTCTTGTGTGCCACGTGTTGTGACGTCTGACCTCTCCTTAAAGGTTAATAGACTTATCTGAAGGTCAAAGTAGCACTAACACTATATATACAGTAGCTTTTAAGACTGCGTTTCTTAATACCATGCTTTTATTGAGAACATATAGACATATAGAGAATAATCTATGGGGATTCTAAAAATCATGGTACTTTGGACCTATGACCTTTTCTTCAAGGTCAAATAAGGTCAAACTTAAAACTATGATTAAAATTCTTCTGCCTTTGTTTCTACTGGCAACACTTAGTGAATGATACTGGTATATGGGGGTATCATATTATGAGATTACACACACACACACACACACACACACACACACACACACACACACAAAATGTGTGTAATCAAGTCAAAACATCTGTCAAGCTACACGTTTATGACCTCCACAGCACTACAAAGAGAAACAAAAAAAAGAAAATTAAACTAATGTATACTTCGGACTGTGGGCGGAAGTGACCAACCCTAAAGAGTTAGTCAAACATTCAAGCTCCATACAGAAACGTCCCCAGGAACCTTCTTGTTTCCACCCATGATCCTTCAAAGACCAGCAGGTGTCTGTCTCTATGGGAAGCCGGGCAAATGTGGTGGAAACACAGACTCAGACACTTTGAACTTCAGAGTTCAGTCACCAGTGTTTCACGAAAAATACACACAGACATGGCACGTACAGCTTCAA